AGTCCGCATTGACCACCTTACCCTAATGCCCTATAATACTTATCTATTTACTTACCTGGGTATTTAATACTCTCCCCTAACTCCCTGCTTTCCATTTTAGTGGAGTTCAGTTTCTCTCCTCTATTGCAATAGTCTTGAATAAATGTCCTTTGTTTGTTTAACTGGGTCTACTGCAAATTTTTTTATAGCACTCAGTAAACATTTTTGTTGAACTTGAAGAACAGCTTCTTTTTCTGTCTTGCAGTATCGGGGACTGAGTCGTGGGCCTTGTGCATATTAGGTAGATATCCTATCACCGAACTACATCCCCACACCTTAACTTTTTATTCTCATGTATAATATCAGTTAAAAAAAGGAGCCTTCTGAGTGAGACAGTCCAGTGCTGGAAGGGATGTTAAAAAACAAAGCAAAGTGATCAGGCAGACAGATTCACCTGAAAGCCAAACGCAGTAGCATTCTCTTTAATTAAAGTAGCTAAATTGTCTTTAGAATAAGTCAAAGTGAATTGAGTTGTATGAAAGTAACTAGCAAGTTACAAGTGTGGTAGAATGCATATTAAGCGGCAAGGTGTAAAGTCTTTGCTGTGCCGCACTTATTTCTTATGCATTAACACTGTTGAAAACATTCTGTGGGTGGAATTTTGGGGCTGATCCACAGTGCCCATTTCTTGGTTAAGAAACAGAACCAAAATAAGTGTTTTGACTCTTTGGTAGAAGAGAAGCAGTGAGACACCAGTGGTTTACATCCAGTCTTGGGGCCTTTTACTGTCTTCTAGAAAACTGAAGTAAACTTTGCTGTTGTAATTTAACTACAACAAGAGATTTAATTGGCAACCTGACAAGAGAAGTCTCTTGTTCATGTTTTGTTGTGGTGGTGGTGTGTGTGTGTGTGTGTGTGTGTGTGTGCGCGCACGCACGTGCGTGTTGGGGGAGAGGATTACAGCTACATAGAATTTTACAATTGACACCGCTCATTTGCATGCATCATCTGATGTAGTTCCCCAAACAAGCTTCACAAGACATGAAACAGCCTGATTAAATGATTTAACAAAGGTTATATGGCTGGTGAGTGACAGAGTAGAAACTAGAATGTGATTTTAATTTCATCTAGTTAAAAAAAGCGCACTGTGAGCCTGTTATGGGCAGTGCTCTCAGATCTTGGAGACAGATTGTGAACAAAGAGAGGACCAGACAGCAAACAAGAACATCTTTATAATAGTAGTGGTAAGTGCAATACAAGAAAAGTGCAGATTGCAATGAAAAGTTATGGATTAGAAAAGGCCATGTCCTGGCTCCTACTTTAAGAGTTCAGCTCCATTGGACTCTACAGTCTGGGCAGAAAATATATCGTAACAGTATATGAGGAAATGAGAAATGTAGACAGGACAGTGCACTTCTGATCAGGTTGGCTATATCAAGTTGAAGTTCTGCCCTTTCCATTTTTAAATACCCTTCCTTTGACATAATGATTATTTTTTTTGTTGCTGTGTTAAACACCATAATCAGAAGCAATGTGTGCATGTGTGTGGGGGGGTATGTTTAGTTGGTGTATGCGTCCAGGTCCCAGTCCATCACTGAGGGGAATCAGGGCAGGAACTCAGGCAGGAGCAGAGGCAGACATCCGAAAGGAATGCTATTTGCTCGCTTGGTCTCTCTGGCTCCTGCTCAGCCTGCTTTCTTATACCACACAGACCACATGCCTAGGGATGCACAACTCACAGTGATCTGGGCTCTCCCATATCACTCAACAATCAAGAAAATGCCCCACAGATATGCTCACAGACTAATCTGTGAGCTCTCCAATTGAGGTTCTTTTTTCCCAGGTTGTTTGAAGCTGACAAACCTAAACAGCGCAGTTATTATTATGGTAAAGTATGTTTTTCAGTAATTGTTTGAAAGTTATAAAAATAATTATTTGGAAAAAAATTCTGTATCAATCTCTCCAATATTGTTTAAGAACCTTTCAATGATTTATTATTTTAAAAAACTGAAAAGAATAATTTATATGTCTGTGTCTGTGTGTGTATGCCGTTGTGTGGCCGGTGCCCTCAGAGGCCATAAGAAGGCATTGGCTGGAGTCACAGGTGATTGTGAGCCACCTAACTTGGGTGCTGGGAACTGATCACAGGTCCTGCGGAAGAGCAGCAGGTGCTCTTTACTGCTGAGCCGTCTCTCCAGTGCCCCCCTCTAAAGATTCCTTTCTTTTAAATTTTATTTATGTGTTTCTCTGTGTCTATTTAAAGATCTCTTTAATTAGCAGCATCCCAAAGCCTGGGAACCAGTGACCTTTATCCTAGTGCAATTCTCATTTTTACTGTTGCTTTTTATTTTATGAACGAAGGAAAGAGCTTTCACTAACATAATACGTTAAAGGTATGATGTAGAATTTTGGCATTTATGTGGAAGATAAGATTAAAAATAACGAGGCAGACTCCTTGTGCAAAGACGCATAATGTCGTGTTGGGAAACGAGAATGAAGAAAACGTCAGCATGTGATTCTGTATATTGGCTAGGAAGTTTCCTAGCAAGCGATTGAGTCAATCTTTCTACAGATGAGGGTGAGAGTCAGGGCAGAGGGAGCGCCTGAAATTGAAAGCTGCTCCCACAAAGAGAAAGCAGAGGCTGGCTGGAGTGGGAAGGGACAGGTATTTTGACCCTTGTTGCTCTTTCTGTGGAGAACTTCCCTCCTCCTGGCCTCGCCTGTATCTATCAATAGGTTCTGTTTATGCCTTAGCTGTGTTGAAGGCAGCTGGCCTGGCAGACTGCCCTCCCTCATTGGAATGTGTCACGGTGCAGAGGGTAAAAAGCGATCGATGGCCCTTCCTGGCCCCCACCCTTCCTCCTGCCCTTATAAATACTTTTATTTGCGTTCTGTCACTGTGGCTGTGGCTTCTCCCCCTGCATTTGCCCTCTCTAGTTGAGACTCATTAATCTGCAGATGCAACTAATTAGCCCTTTGCTGTTCCAGGAGCTGAAAACCTTGCTCGCTCATCGTCCTAGTTTATTGGATGCCAGAAAGTGTGCTCTTAAGGATCAATGGCTCTTGCCAATAGAGAAAGTGCTGTGCATAATTGCAGAATTGCCCTGGTCAGCTATAAAACGAGAATTGCACAGAGTGCCTGAAACCCTCTTTACAATGGTGCAGTTACTTAAACCACAGGCTTACATTTCTTATTTTCTCAAGTAAGTTGTGCCCATTCAGTGAGGTGAGCCATCTCAATCCATCTTCTTGAAGAGTGAGGTGCAGAAAATTAGGTGAAATTGGCTGCATTTCGGCCCTGACATTTTTCTTTTTGGAGAAAGGTTGAACTCAAGACCTCAGGGTTGGTCTAAGATTGGAAAGGCCACATCACTTTATCTTATTTTTTTCAATAGGAAAAAAAAATAAACCCAACCCTCTCGATGCCACATAAAATAAACATAAAAGCTAATGCATGTTGCCAGGTGCTCAAAAAGCTTATACTTAGCTCCACCAACTCTCCAGCCCCCCTCTCCCCTTTTAAAGGAAAAACCCAAAATGTGATTAGCTACATGCATCTAGGAAAAAAAATCCTTATTTCCTTAAAGGAAAAATAATTTTTCTGTAGAAGCAACCACTGAAAATTAGATTTGATAACAGGTTAAACCAGCAGAACATCTTTCCTAGCCATGAGCATAGTTTTCAGCTGTGACATGTGTGTGTGTGTGTGTGTGTGTGTGTGTGCATGTGAACCTTTGTGGGTGACTGCTAGAACATAGCTAGGTGATTGTGACTTTCTACCCAAGCAAAGCTGAAAGTTGAGAGGTGCCGGTCAGAAAGGTGGAGAATATGACAATGTCATGAAAAACAATCCGAAGAGGGAAACCCCAAAGCAGCCATTGTCTATTCCTGGTGGTCTTGGCATAGTGGGATCTTGCTGACAAGAGATGGACTTCAGAAAGGATTTGCTGCTTTCACCAGCCACAACCCTCTGCTTCCTAAGATTTGCATCTTCCTGACAGCCTGTGCAGGTCTACAAATGGGTCCACAGCTCTGCCGAGTAGCGGTTATCAGCCGGGTCCTTTCAGGTCCTTGTGCTGAGATGGGATTCAAGGTGTTCCTTCACTTTACCTTTGCCCAGTCCTCAAATTGTCCTATTGTCCTTTGTGAATGGGAGTGGGCATGGTCACAGACAAGTTGTACTGTTTGTCAGATAAGTAGTATTTTAAGAATCACCAACTAATGTAGCATTTCCCTCCTCTTTTTTGCTTCTTCATCCTCACATGTATTTTTTAAAAAATTTGTTTTTATTTGTGTGTGTGTGTATCCCATGTGTATATGTGTATGTGGATGCATTGAGGAGGCCAGAAGAAGGTGCCAGATCCCCTGGAGGTAGAGTCCTGAAAACTGAATTTGGGTCCTCTAGAATAAGGGCTGTTAACTGATCCATCTCTCCAGCCCTTTTGTTTGTATTTTAAAATTCAGAAATACAAAGACTGTTCACTGACTGCACTAGTCTTAAATTTATTTAGATTCCACCCATCCCTGGTAAGTAGCTTATCTAACCTTATTGTTTTTCAGAAAGGTATTCTCAAAACCAGGTGTGCCCTTTGTTCTTGAATGCACAGTCTAATGTGATGTTTATTAATGTGTTTTTCTTTGATCACAAACCTGTTTAGAAATTGTCACAGTAAGCCTTTCTCAACCACAGAAAAATGCACTTGCCCATGTATTCATATGCGATGGTTTGGTTTTAAGAAATTCACTGACACTCTGTTAGCAACAGTTTTCTGGAGTCTATGGTTCCAGGCTAAAAACCTATGGTTAAAGGCAAAGCATATGAAACAGTAGAGAAATTAAAGCACATGGTAGAACAGAAACATGTTTTCTCCCAGAACAACAGCAGGCTGCTGATTTATGGTATTGACTAAGTTTCAGTAAGATCAAGATTTAAGAGTTATGCAGACCTAGCTCTGTATTGCCTATGAGATTATTAAACTCATTAAACCCTTATTTCTTCCTTGTTTTTTTTTTTTTTTTGGGTCAGACTATTGTGTTTTATCCATGAACGGAGGAAAGGGATATCCAACAATTTGAGTCATTATACATTAGTCATCTATAGATTAGAAAGGAATGACTAAACATTTTGAAACAAAAGGCACTGTTATAAACGACCTCCTTTACTTTAATAGAGCGTTCACAATAGCCCATGTCTACATACTTATGGGATCTCTCTATACAAAGTGAATGTATTGCTCATTTATTGATATGTTAGATGTTCATGATACCTAACAGCTTGATGTTTAGAACAAAACCTGTTTGCAATAGTGTTAGTACTTTCTGTGTGGAGTAAATAGCTTGTGTTTACCAAGAGAGTTAGAACCATTGGTCAGATGCAGGAGAAAGTAATAGTCACTCACAGATTCTGTTGCTGACGGTGGGGGTGGTAGGGCTTTTACCTAGAATCACCCTTGCGTATATAATGAAGGGTCTGGGTGTCCTGCCTTTCTTACATACAGTGCTTAATACTGAATCAGATAGCTCTGGTAAGTGTTCTAAGAGCTCGAGGGTTATCTAAGATAAAACTATTTGGAACAACAATAGGCACTATATTTGAAATGCCTAGTGGGTGCCATGAAAATTCCTTGGGATTCTACCCATGTATCTCGTTATCCTGTCACACTTACTATAGAATTTAAGGTTATTCACATTTAATAGATTAACAGACTGAGGGCTAGGAAGTGAAGGGACTCTGCCACAACTAGACTATGATGCGCGTGGGAGGTAGACCTTGGATTTTGTCATGCAGGCATTTTGCTTTTACAGTTGAATGGTTTTGGGAAGTTATATAATTCCTGTTGATCACTTTTCTATTTAAATCAACCTTGTGGAATTCAGGAGCAGTTTTACTTTTCTGGGAAGGTTGCTTGGGGGTGGGGCCAAAACAAACTTCCAGATGAAAATACAGCCATTTCTAGGTGTGGAAATGGCTCAAATTAAAAATTCGTGAACGTTGCTGAGTTGCAACAGACACGATTGAAAACATACCATCCCTCTTGCTGTCTTTAAGTGTAATGATTAATGTACCATTGGAGAATGAGCTACGTGCCTGTACATTATTGCTAGAACTACTGTGTCTACTTTTATTGTTTGCCTGTAATCACTGGACATTTTAGTTAAAGATAAGTGAGGATTAAAGCACTTTCCTTTTTGGCTTGGCAGGAATTTAAAAAGAAAGAAAGACAAACAGGAAAAATCAGGCAGGAAAAAGACTGCACAGCTGAAATTAAACAACTAGAGTCAAATTAATCACTTGTGAGTCATGTGGAAAGTTTAGCAGATGCTTAATGGCAAACAAACCCAAGAATTTCTGTCACGATAGACAGCTAGATATCGATACTATTCTCTTCTATACATAAGGCCATGGAAATGGGTAGATTAGCAAATCATGCAATTTTATAATCCTCTTGAGAAATGCTGACCAGAGAAGAAAGAAACAAGTGAAATTCAGGTATCTAAGTTAGAGGAACTCTCTCTCTTCTCTCTCTCTCTCTCTCTCTCTCTCTCTCTCTCTCTCCACACACACACACTATTGATCCAGCTCTGTTTTGCGATGTTTGTTATTTGTGGGGTTTTGCAGTTTTCTTTTTTCTGTGGCAGAAGGAGAAAGCAAACTGGTCTTTTAAATTTATTGCATTACATTAGTTGCACGATAAGATTCTTTGAAGATGATTGTCTTGTGGATTCCAGTTCCAGATCAGTGGACATTTGGCTGGAAGGATTTATATTGTGTGCTCAGAGAATTGGGCTTTAAATCAGTGTTAGTGGAGGCTGCATAGGGCTTGGATTTTACAACTGCAATAACTAACTCACTGGGGAAGTGTATGTGTGACCCTTTCCTGATATTCCAAGGAAAGTGTGTGTTTGATCATCATTGCTTTAAATTCTAAAAAGCAGCACAACAGAAACATTAGCTTTCCTGTGGCTGTGGGTTTGTTTCACTAGGCAGAAAAGGTTTCATATAGAGAGGAAATAGTTGCATTAGTTTGCAATTTGTAGGAGAACTGAACTTTTGATTCCACTGAAAAACACTTAGATTGAATTATATCAGGGTCGGGGGACATTTTAAGCCGAAGGTGGCCCAAGTGTCTTCGAACCTTTCTGTTTTTTTTCTGAAAAGAGATTTTACTGAAAATGATGGTAGAAGTATATCCTAGGGAAGTTACAAGAGTATAGATTTATTTCTTTCCATTCAGTTTTTGTTCGTTTATCCAAGTATTTATTTTTTTTCCAAACAATTAAGCATCCATGGAAGCCAGGTTCTGCCTTCTGGGGAGTGCTTCTTTTGGTGCTAAGAAGAGGATTAGGAATGACCTTCCACAATTCAGCCTGATGAGGGCTAATGCAGAAAGTACAAGATGCTACAGGAACACCAGGAGAGTGACGGACTGCTCAGAAGAGGGGCACATCCCCAAAATGCAGAGAAAAGATGCTACAGTGGTTTGGTCTTCAAGACCTCCTAAAATCTGGCTGCTGTTCATAGATCTTCATGCTTTGTATGCGGGACTGTAGAATTCAGTGTGAATGAGATATGGAAATTCATAGAAAACTCACTGTAGGATTTATAGGGCTTACCTGGTACAGTGTCCTATGTAAGAAACCCATCCCAGACATCCAAACAGCGGTTTTGACCAGAATTCCTTCATTCTCTTACAAGTCAGCCTGATTCACTTTAGAATTAAAAATCTGCTGATTTATTTTTTTCTTTTTAAGAAAATGTTATTGGTGCAATTATAGCTATCCAGGAATTACAGTGCAAAATTGGGCAAATCAACCCTCCAGTAGAACAGCTTTTTGAATGTTCATATTTAACTTGTGGTCAACTATAACCCATTCATAAAATGATCACAAACCTTTCTTGCATTCCAGTTGTGTAATTGATTAGTTTGAATCTGAAAGTAGGACTTCATATTTATCCCTCTAAAATATTCCTTGACTTTGCTTTAATGTGCTAGTTTAAAGATAATTTTGAACCTTAATTTTGACAACTCTCCTATTAGCTATTCTCTTCCAGTCTATGCTATTGACAAACTTGATTATTATGCTACCTATATCTTTATCTAGGTCATTGCTATGAATGAGAAAGGGAACAGGTATTCTCACAACTGTTCTCCTTTGAGATATGTTTGTTTAACCAGAAAGAAGTCAGGTCAGCTAGGCATGGTGGCATCTACCTGTAATATTGGCACTTGGAGGCAGGAGGTGGAGAGAAGCCTATAATAGCGAGACCCTACTTCAAGGAGACAAAAAAGCCAGTTTGAGCAGTAATCTCTTTGCATTATTATCCAGAGGGTCCTGTAGATATGTAACTACCACACTGACTGCTTCCCTCAGGAAAGCTCCGGTTTACCTGGCTAATTTCTGGTTTATTCCTGCCATTGAGGCATAATTAAATAGCAAATATTTTTCTTCTCTGTAATGGTTAATCTTGGTTGACAACTTGACTGGATTTAGAATCAACCAACAGACAAACTTCTCAGCACACTCATGAGGTTACTGAGGCAGGAAGACCCACACTAAATGTGGGTGACAGCTTCTGGCAGTGGCCCAGACACAAGGAGGTTGGAAGGAAAGGTTTTTGCTCTTTTGCCTGCTTGCTTTTGCATCTTGCTGGCATATTTATCTACTCTGTGAGTTTACCTATCCTGTTGCAGCAGCTGTTGCTGCTGCTACCTCAGCCAGTGCTGTGCCACCCTTCACTGACATCAGAGCTCCAGGGGGCTCCAGGAATCCTTCAGGCCTTCAGGGCCAGATTGGAACTGCTGAGACACCCAGACTTGCAGACTGAACAGCTACAGAGTTCTCAGCCTTGCCAGTGTGAGGACGGCCACTGTTGGACTACCCAGACCATATTGTATAAGCCAATCTAATAAATCCCCTTTAATGTATATTCATTCTATAGGTTCTGTTCATCTAGAGAGCCCTGGAATTTTCAAAAGTATTCTGCTTTAAACGGTAATGAGACTCACTGGAAAAAAGACATTAGAGAGAGGCACCAGCCGGGAAGAGGAAGGGGACTAAGGAATAGCTGGGGGGACCAGAGAGGGTAATAGGAGGTGACTATGAGCAAAATGAATTATATGCATTCATGAAAAAGTCTAAAAATGATGCAGGTGTTCTGGTTTGGTGAAGAGTATGGTGGTTGCCCCACTTCTCAGACAGCCCATCAGATGATCTGGAGGCGGGGGGCCTCCACAAAGATGATATCTCTGGTGCATTTCTGACTTCCAATTTACTAGTTCTTTTTTACAGTAAAATGAGATTTGCTTGCCAAATTTGTTCTTTATCTGACCTCGATTCCTCAAATGCATACCTTTTTCTAAATGTCTGTAAATTAAACAGAGCTTAGACAAATTTATTGGAATTTAAATTTCAAGTTATCAGTGTGTAGTTGAAGTTTTTCTTAGTTTGTCCTGACTGTGTGCTAAGCATTCGTTAGGGCTTCACACATTTCATCTCACCTCTCATCATAAGGTGATGAGGCTTAGCGCACACAATGTACAAGTAAGGAAAGAGGGGAGGTACCTTTCCCAAAGACTCAGAACTAATGCAAGGTCTGTCTGAAAAGAAATCAAACCCAGGCAACTGGACTCCAGAGCCTTTGCTGTTTTGCACTAATTCCCGGAATGTAGTCTTTTCTATATTTGAAATGTGAAACCATAAGCAAGCCAAAACTCAAAACAAAACTCTTAAATCCTTTGGTTTCCTGTAAGATCATTTGAAACTATACAATAAAACAAAAATAATGTGAATTTTCCAGGGTGCTAGCAAGAGTGCTAGCAAGAACTGATGGAATCATACAGTTTAAAGGAGAGAGCAAAAGGACACCCCACAACCTGCATGACAGCTAGGTCCTGAACCTGCTTGCAGGCCATGTGGCCCCCACAAGACTTTCTCCCAGTCTTTGAGGTTGCCTGGCTTCTAGCTCAGCTTACAATATTGGGCATCCCTTTTTTGGGACGTGTGTGTGTGTGTGTGTGTGTGTGTGTGTGTGTGTGTGTTTGTGTGTATGTGTGTAGTTGGGGAAGGGACCTTTTTTTTTTTATA